CCTGGCCGAGGCCTGTAAAATGAGCCAAGCCCAAAGGCAGTCAACAAACACTCACAGAGGAAAGGTTGTGGAACCAGCAAACTTCTTCCATGTCAGTAGAGAAAGATGGCATGGAAGAGGGAAGGTGCTTGGGCAGAGGTCACACAGGGCGCCATCCTAAGCAAGCCCCTGGTGCTCATCTTCCAAGGTGTGTGCAGCAGTGCTGCTGCAGGAGGCAAAGAAGAGGGACACTGCTTGGGCAGCAGCAGTTGGGGCTCCATTCCTGGAAAGCACCCTGTGGAAACTTTTGAAGCCCACCATAGAAAGCCAGTATCAAAATTGGCATCAGCGGAAAGCACTAAAAATAAAATAATAAATTTAAAGCAAACAAAAGCTGAAGAAATCCATCTGCCTAGAAGAAGGCAAAAGTCTTCACCTGGCAGTGAAGAGATCACAAGGAAGGTAGGCAGGTAAACCTCCTTAGATAGGGCATTGCCCCATCTGGGGGTAGCTCCTTCTGCTTAGGAGGCACCTGGTTCCCTCTATTTGCTGTGGGGCACTGGAAAAAGGGCCTGTATGAATGCTCTTAGGGTCTGGGTATATCTATATAGAAACACAGAAACATGAAAACTGAGCAAGTCAGAAGAGGCCTCCTGGGCCATCTAGTCTGACCCCCGGCTCTAGGTGGCCCTGCTCTCAACATGTGGGTGAAATCAAGCCACAGACATCCCTGTTGTGGTATTTCAGCAAGTTACATTTCACTTATAGAAACAGTGATTGGAAAACATTTTCTACCACAGTTTCCATGCTTTTTCTGATCATCTGAAACTGTCAGTGTGGCTTCCATGGTCCTGCTATGCAGCTACCACATAGAACTCTGGAAAGAGCAAAAACTGATGCAAGAACTGCTCCCTCCCTCCCAGGATTTAATTTCAGGTACAGGCTGATATAAGCCAACAAGTGGGCAGTCTGAGTGAAGAATCCTGCCATGTAAATGCAACCACTCTCAATCTCATCTGTATTGAGTCCCAGTGACCAGGCAATCATGCAATCCTTCCCTTAGCTCTTGCATTAGTTGAGAGGATCTACAGATTCTTTTGCATTTCAGGAAAAGGGGAGATGAGGCCAGGTGACACTGGCATAGCAGTCACACATTAGCTCAATTAGCTCATAGCAGTCACACATTAGCACATTAGCTCAAATTAGTTCAAGGAGATGCTGAAAAATATGGGGAATGTTCTCAGTTCTCGTGGTGCCCATGGTGTATCTACGTAGCAAAGCATTTGTTAATATGGCCCCATTGTCATCTTCTTTAACTGCCTATTTTATACAGAGTGGAGGTGCCTCTATCTGCATGGATTTTTCATGGGACACAAACATTATTTTCTTGGGGCTCTCCCATTGTGGGCCTGTTTGGGCTGCTGATCTTCTGAACACATGGCACAATGCCTGTACCTGAAAAGGAGAGTCACTCCAGCATCTCACCACCAAAACAGAAACATTTCCTGTCATATGGAGCAAGGTTCATAGAACCATAGAATGGTAGAGTTGGAAAGGGCCATGAAGGCCATTAGGTCCAACTCCCTGCTGTTGCAGGACACCAAGTTACACCATTCCACACAGATGGCTGTACAGTTTCCTTTAGAATGTCTCCAGTGTGAGAGAACATACCACCTCTCTAGGCAGCTGGTTCCACTGTTGCATTGCTCTGACCATGAGGAAGCTTTTCCTCATGTCCAGGATGAATCTGAGTTGTTGCAACTTGATGATGATGATGATGATGATGATTATTATTATAACATTTCTATGCCTCCCCTTGCCGAAACCTCGGGGCGGCTTACAACATGATAAAATACATTGAAATACAATAGTACATAATAAATTACCATTAAATATAAAAATACAAAAAAAACATTGCTTTACAAATACAAAATTAAATTATTCCGTATCCTACACTCTGGCAACAGCAAGAAGAGATCCTGACCATCTTCTTTGGGACAGCCTTTGAGGTACTTATACAAGGATATTATGTCTCCCCTCATTCTTCTCTTCTCAAGGCTGAACATGTCCAGTTCTTTCAGTCTCTTTTTATAGCGCAGTGTTTCCAAACCCTGGATCATACTCCATTTGGTAAAAGCAGAGCTTCCAGACTGCTGACAGGATCTTATTTCCACATTATTCCCACATAATGCCAGTCCTCTACCAGTTACACTGGCTCCTGATTGAAGTCCGGGCCCAATTTATGGTGCTGGTGTGGACTTATAAAGCCCTAAATGCTTGGGACCAGGATGCCTGAAGGAACGTCTTCTTCCCTATATGCCCCCCCACCACCCCTTAAGATCAGAGGAAGAGGCTCTCCTCCAGGAACCTTGCTTGAAGGAGGTTAGGAGAGCGAATACCCAGAGGAGGGTCTTCTTCACTGTGGTGCCCCAACTGTGGAATGCACTCATTATATTCTTTTCCATGCCAGGTAAAAACCCAGGTATTCACCCAGAATGTTATTATATAAACATTTTAACTAGTTTTTAATGAACATGCTTAGTCATTTTTCTCTTTATTTTATTATATTATGCTTGTTGTACTTGTTCTGTTTATTGTTATAACTATCTTGTAAGCCATCCTGAGACATTGTTAAGGACAGGGTAAAAATACTGTAAACAAACAAACAAATCATTTTTGTTGCCCTCCTCAAGACCTTTTCTTATTTTTCTATGTCTTTCTTAAATCTTGTTGCCCAGAACTGGACACACTATTCCAGATGAGGTCTGAGTAGTGAGGAAAATAGAGGGACTACTACTTCCCATGATATGGAAGTAATACTTCTGTTAATGCATCCCAAAATAGCATTTGTCTTTTCAGAGGCTGCATTGTATTTTTGGCTCATGGTTTAGCCAATTGTCCAGTTATTCTTGCTTGCTTGCTTATTTATTAATTCATTCATTTAAATCTTTTATAGACCATCACTTTACTAGCATCTCAGGACAGTTTACAACAAGCACAGCTAAGAAATGGCACAGCATACAGCAACTCATAATAAAATCACAATTAAAACCAATTAAATATTAAAATAACAGAAGAATAAAAAGGTTTTCACCTGGTACCAAAAGGAAAAATTATTGGCTCCAGGCGATCCTCTATGGTGAGCATATTATACAATTGGGGTGTCACCACAAAGAAGGACTTCCTCCAGTTATTCACCCTCCTCATCTCTTTCAAGGAGGATTCCTAAAGAAGTACCTCTGTCTAAGATCTCAAGGGACAGGAGGACACATGGGGAAGAAGGTGCTCATTCAGGTATCCAGGCCCCAAGCCATTTAGCACTTTATAGGTCATCACCAGCACCTTAAATTATGCCTGGACTACAATTGGCAGCCAGTGTAAGCAATAGAGGACTGGCATTATATGTGAATACCTCCCAGTCCCTGTTAATTTCCTGGCCACTCTATCCTGAACCAATTGAAGTATTATTATATTGAAGTACAATATTCCAGTTGAGAAGTTAGCAGAGCATGAGTCGCCATTGCAAGGCAATGATCATCCAGGTAAGGACGCAGTTGGTAAATCAGCCAAAGCTATAAAAAAGCAATCCTCCCCACTGCTGCCACCTGAGATTCCAGAGACAGCTCTGACTCGAGGAGCACTCCCAGACTGCACACCCTGTACTTTAGGGGGAGCACAACCACATCCAGTGCAGAGCAGATGTTGCACACCTGGACAGATGAACCACCCACCAACAGGACCTCTGTCTTTTCTGGATTAAGCCTCAATTTATTGGCCCTCACCCAGCCCATTACCTTGGCCAGGCACTGACCAAGGACAGCCACTAGATGTAAAACAGAGGTAGAGCTGGATGTCATCACTGTACTGATTACTCCTCAGCCAAAACCTCTGGATGACCTCTCCCAGCAGTTTCATACAGATGTTGAAAAGCATGGGGGATAAAATGGAACCCTGTGGAACTCCATGGCAAATCTTCTGTAGGATGGCCCTGAATCATGCCACATCCACACTACTCAGGCCAGGAAAGACAGGCTAAGGAACCAGGTTTCTCCACCACAAAGGAAGCCTTTGGCCACCAAGATCACACACAAGCCCATCCATGAGAAGATTGGTGAAGGGGACCATCCTCCATTTCCTTCATGGGGTAGGCCATGTGATGTAGAGATCCTTGCTCATCCTCTGCTGTGCCTGGAAATTTTGTTCAGAGATACAGGGAGCAACTTCCATGTTAAGAGAGAAAAAATGAATAAATATCAGGGTTGTGGAAAGGAGACATACACACTATGGACACACAACCTTAAGCTTCATGCACAAGCTCTGAGCTCACACTCTACTGCTTGGCCTGTTTGGAAAGACACAGTTTCTCATTCCCACTCGGAAATAAACCTTGGAAGGTGATCTTTCACCCGCCACACACATTACACAGTTGTAGTTTTGAGGATAAATTGTACAGGAGGATGACGGTGTGAGCTACTTTGCCTAAAATGCAAGAAGATGAAGAGTGAGAAATGAATGCAAGAATAAGACATTGAATACTAATAATAATCCTAATATGAGTACTAGTAATAATACTAGGTGGAAAATTGGGATTCAGGAGCCTGTGGACAAAAGGGAACTGGCAGTGTTGGTTGGATTATTATATATATTCCTTTATTGTACCAGGATAATAGCAACAACTCTTTGAGTGGTTCACACCACTTAAAAACAAAACAATACAGCAAGATGAAAAATGTATAATTTTCAAAAACTTGATACCACATAGTAAAATCCAGAAATACTACATGTTTAAAAGAGACAGACAGACAGACAGACAGAAAGAAAGAAGTCAAGAACAAAAACAAAAACTGAAGAATGTTGCTACTTAAGAGAATGGAAAAGTATTCACATGCAACCAAAACTCACAAAGTAGTTAGCCATGGAGAATGTCTCTAAGGGGCACATTTCGCTAGCAGGAGGCCACTACTGAAAAGACCATCCTGCAGGAGTTCCACAGAGTCCAAACCCCAGGCAAAACACACGGATCAGATGGTATCTTCGCTTTTGATCATGAGAATTTCCTTCTTATTCAGATCAGGCCTAATGACAATGATATAGCACTTGGGAAGAAAGATGCAGCACAGCAGCACAGCACTGGAAGCCAAGATGGAGAAGACCTGCACTGCAACCATATACTTCCCCTTTGTGCTCAGGTAGGTTGGCACAAAGGACACCCAGACACTGCAGAAGACCAGCATGCTGAACGTGATCAGCTTAGCTTCGTTGAAGGCTCCTGGCAGCTTCCTGGCTAGGAAAGCCACTGTGAAGCAGACGGTAGCAAGGAAGCCCAAGTAGCTGAGGGCAATGTAGAACATTGTGAGAGACCCTTCATTGCATTGTAGGATGATGTGTCCAGGCTGGGAGTACATGTCAGAGTGTGGGTAGGGTGGAGAGATGCCCAGCCAGATGGAGCAGATGACAACCTGGACACTGCAACAGAAAATGACAATGGCATTGGCCAAGCTCTTCCTCAGCCACCTCTTCACCCTGTTCCCTGGCTTGGTGGCCAGGAAGGCCAGCACCACAGTGATGGTTTTGGCCAACACACTCGAGGTGGCAACTGAGAAGATGATGCTGAAAGCTGTTTGTCGGAGCAGGCAAGTTGCTTTGCTTGGCTGGCCAATGAACAGGAAGGAACACATATAGGAAAGCAGGAGGGAGACAAGGAGAATGTAGGAGAGGTTTCTGTTGTTGGCTTTGACTATTGGAGTTTCTTGGAATTTAATGAAGATTCCAAATGTAAAGCCTGAGCTTAAAATCCAAATTAGGGCAAAGAAGGTCAGGATGATCCCCAAAGGTTCCTCATAGGAGAGGAAGGTAATTCTCTTAGGGACACAATTATCTTGGTGCTTGTTCGGGTGCTGATCTTGAGGACACCTGCTGCACTGCTCTGAATCTGGAAAGAAGGGAAGCCACTCAGCAATGCCACTTTCAGTCGTACATCCAGAACTGCTTCTAATGCATTCAGTGAAGAAGGGGATGTGGGAGACATCAGGATGTGATCATGTGTGGTGTGGCAGGGAGATAGGCCAAAGACTCCAGGGAGGGGATACACCATTTGCTTTTCAGGCTCTGTCTGTGGCATCACCATCACATGAGGCTCTGCAATTGCAGGAGGGACCACCACATCTTTGGAGGACAAAGATGGTGGTACTGAGAGTTGGAAATGTAGAGTCATTGTGAGATTAATCAAAAGTTTGGCTTTTCTGGCTAAAGACATGGAATATAAGTCTTATAAATGAATGAGTGAATGAATGATGCTCAATTCTGGTAAGCCCAGCAGGGTTAAGGGAGCAGATCTGCGGCTTTCCTGTTTGCCTCACCACAACAAGTGGTTGTGTGAACCAAGTTCAAATTGTAGGAAGTAGCCTTGTTTCATTTTATTTTAGTTCACTTTTAGGCTGCCTACAATACAGAGCTGAGCGGGTAGTTTGAACCAGTTCCTAGAGAGGGTCAGGATCTGGCACAATGTATGGAGGGGCTGCTTGAATGGTGAAAACACAGGGGCAGAATGGACCAGGCATTGCTGGAGTCCTTGGATACTTTCCTGAGTTCAAGAGCTACCCTCACAAATAATTTCTAAAAACTGTCATCTGTGGGCTTGAGTGTACTCCAGGGGATGGTGGAGGACAGGAAAACCTGGAGGAATGTTGTCCATGAGGTCACGAAAAATCAGGGATGACTTTGTGACTGAACTACAACTACATTAATTCCTAAGAAGCAGAGAACATCATCACACAGATGCAAGGATTAAGAGCATCAAACACTGCTAAAGTGGCTGAGCAAGTAAAGATGGCTTCCCCTGCTCTTTTGGCAGTGCATGAGTTGTTCTGGGTATGGTGTTCCATTGAGAGGGGGCCACACCTGGATAGGCTAAACTTCTGCTTTCAGATGGTGGATTTGCCCTACATCTGAAAGGAAAACCATTTGCTTGGGGGGCACCCACCTTCCTGAGTGGAGATGGTCCCTTCTGCACATGGAGCACAAGCATAGCAGCAGGCCAGCTTCCCTTCCTGGGTCTCCTTGAAATAACCTGGGCGACAGCTCTCCACGCACCTGGAATGAGGCACCACCTGGTAGTGAAGAAGAGGAATAGTGTGAGGAGTCCATTTCTCATCAGTGAATCACAGGGTCTGAATGTTCCCAGTGGGATCTTTAGTCCTGGTGACAATAATTTCCTTTTTGAAAGAAATTTTGAGGGTTGCTATTTTATGTACTAGACATGGCATAGAAACTAGTTCCATGCATGCAGTTGTTTGAGCATTGAAATCCTTCCTTTCAATGTGGAGTGAGCATGTCTGAAGTGTGCTATTTATTTATTTATTTATTTATTTATTTAGCACTTTTGTGTATCATTTTGTAGCCACATGATCTTCCATTACAAGATTGCTCATGGAATCGACTCAAAAATTATCCTCGAAAAAGAGAAGCACCATGCAGAAAAGCTTTACTACAGCACCTATAAAACATGCTGGTCAGGGGCAGCAAGAAAAGCCCTCTATAATCATCAATACTAATGCATAGAAAGAGTAGAAATGTTCCAAGTTCCTGTTCTTTCGGATGGTTTGATTGTAGCCAAGGAAGGAGGTGGAGACAGTTTATCTTTTGTTCTGAATTGAGGGGCCAAATCTGAGAAGGGTCCTTCCTGTTCTCTGTCACTTTCTCTGTTCCACCACCACCAGTGTCATCAGGAAAAAGAATAAAAATCCAAATGAAACACCACCAGCTAACAGGAATTATATAGCTGTTCTGCCTTTTTCCCTTTAACGGATATTTTTTTTCTCTAGAATTACAGGTATCCTTTTGAGTATATATGAAACCTCCCAAATGGGCAAGGGAAATACTGAGGACACAGTCTATCTTGACATGAGGAAAGCTTTTGACATACTGCCCCATGACATCCTGATAAGCAAGCTAACAATAAGTGGACTTGACATAACAATTGTGTGAATTCACATCCAGCCACAGAATCAGACTCAAAGCACCTTCTCAAACTGGAGAGAGATCACAAGTGGGGTGCCACAGGGTTCAGTTGTGTGCCTGGTGCTCTTCAACATTTTCATCAATGATTTGGAGAAGGAAGTGCTGTGTCAAGTTCTGGGCACCAAGGTTTATGACAGATGCAAACAAGCTGGAAGTGTTCAGAAGAGGGCAACAAAGATTTTCCAAGATTTGGAAACAAAGCCCTATGAAGAGAGGCTGAGAGAACTGCGGAAGCTTATCCTTGGGAAGAGCTTAGCTTTGGGAAGAGAAGACTGAGCAGGTGTCATGGGAGAACTCTGCAACTAACTGAAAAGCTTTCAAACAGAGGGAGGACAGGATCACTTATCCCAACATGTAGGATACATTACAATGGACTCAAGATGAAGCAACCCAGATTCAGGCAGGATCTCAGAAAATCATTCCTGACTGTCCAAGCAAAATGCAAGTGGAACCAATGGCCCAGGGATGTTGTGGGCTCTCCCACACTGGAGGCCTTCCAGATGCAACAGGACAGTCATCTGAGTGGGATGGTGTAAGTTGGTATCCTGCACCAGCAGGAGGTTGGACCTGTTGGCCTACTTGCACTCTTTCAACTCTATGATTCTATGACCATGTGATTTGGGCTTTTATTTGTCTGCAAGAAAACTGTATGCTTGATTTGTAAGCTACTAGGAAGTCAAGCTTCAAAATTGGACTCATGGCTAAGAGCCCCATTCTGCGCATTGTCACATCACACACCAACCACAGTCTCTGTACCAAGGTAGCCTCTCATAGGGTGCATGGCATTCATACAGACATGAGTTTCCCAATGCATGGATAATACAAGCCAGGCTGTCAATCAAGGGTATGGCAGAACTGACATACCACCCAGAGATGCTGCCTTTTGCTCCAGTCCCCAGAAGTCCCTTGCGCCTCTGCTGCCTGTGGAACATCCAGATGCCCTGCTGCTTCTCTCGAAGAAAATGCAATGCCATTGGGGGCATGCAGACTCCCCCATTCTTGTGCCTCTGAATTAGCAAGCCATGCAATCTGTGACTCACCAGGAATCAGAACCAGACTGGACCTTATTCAGTACACCCAGACACAAGCTCAAAAGATGCCTGTCTTCCCTGGATTCTGCTCTCTGGGCAGAAATGGAGCTAGCTGTGCTCAGCATTCCAGGGACACCTCATTCAAAATCTCCCAATGAGCAACACAGCAGGTCAGAGCATATGGTGAATCTCTGTGGAGGCTAGAAGGAACTCTGCAGCATCCCCATGAAATGGCCATGGAGCCAGTAGTTAGAGACAATGTGGCAGTATGGGACAAAAACAGTTCAGAAAAGCTCCATCCTGGCAGGTCTGGCTGTTCACTGGCCTGTCACCACACCCATGCTAATCTCACAATTCCATTCTGAGTCAATTTTTCATGTTTTCTCCTTTGCAGCTTAATGTTCAAAACCCTGTATGGAATAACTGTTGGTTCGTCTTGGTCCACTTTTGAGGATGCTGAAAGCTGAGCTGCCTGACAGTGTGGATTAGACTGGGAGTTTTGGTGAAGGGCTTTTGTCATGCCATCTCTGTGCGTTGAGAATCCAGAGCACCAAACCCTGAACAGAAAAGCTTGGGAAAATTGAGTCCTCTGCAGCATCTCCTGCAATGAAGAAGTTATCTAGGCCAGGCACTCCTGCATGTATGCACCCAAGTCCTGTGATGTGTAAGGCACTTTCTTTCACAGACAAGTGTGCAATGAGAGACAAAGTTTGTCCTGTATATACTATCCCACAGGTTACCCAAGTTTTACTGCCTAAGTATAGGGCAGAAGTTATTTTCCTCACCTTGTTTAAATGCCTGGGCCACACAATGGCTTCTGGGTTGATGCTGAACTGTTTCTCAGGGAATGCTCCTCTCATCCAATGCCCTATGGTCACCATTCCAGGGGTATCATTGGGAAACAGCACCCAATTCACAATATCAAAGTTGGCTTCCAGCCGTCCATGCTCATCCAAATGCAGCCCATCCAAGGAAGTGTTAGAATGCAAGATTCCTCTTAAGAAAGTTTGGAACTAGTATGACACAGAAGACAACAAGACAACAAGTTAATTTCATTCATTCATTAATTTGTTACATTTGTATGGTGTTTCATAGCCCTACAACTCTCCGGGTTAAAAGAATGTTCAGTAGCTTAGTCTTCTGTGCTTTGAGTCCTAATCTTCCATGTACTGAAGCTGATGCACATCCCGTGCACACTCAAATTTCACTACTGAGACATATTCTTGGATCTCCTTTCTTCTCTCCCTTAGGATTTATGTATGAGCAGAATCAGCAATATCATGTAGAGAAGCTTCCTTTGTATTCCAACCTGGTTCCTACAGATTTCTCCCAGATTCCTGTTCCTGAACATGCTGGTTTGCCTGATGAGAGTACAGAACTAAGCCATCTAAAGGCATTTCTTTGGGGATAGTTGCCCTCAGGAATCTCCTGCTGCCAGCATATTCACTGGCACATGAGAGGGGTTTCCTTGAGAGTGGGGTTCCCCATTGAAGGCCAGCCAAATTGCCACCCTCAGTATTCTGGTGTCCTTCATGGAAGCATTGCCTCCTTCTCTTCCCTCTTTTGTCTCTTCAGACACTTCATGAGAAGCCAGGGTTCCCTGGAGAAGACTATCCTGTTAGGGGGAGTTGAAAGTAGAAGATGAAAGGGAAATCTAAATATGAGGTTGAATGAATCTATAAGAGAAGGCACAACCTTGAACATGGAAGATCTGAATGGAGCTGTCATGGATTGGGCATTTTGGAGGGCTTTCATTCATGGGGTGACTTATGACTTGTTATGTCTATGGCACATAACATAAACATAACATGACATAACATAGACAGGAAAGACATAATAACAACTGCTTGAAAGCCAACGTTATCTAAAAATGATGCAGTGTTTGGTGGGATAGGGAATAGGTCCCAAATTCACAGGTCTTCAATCAACTCCTGCGGAGATGGGCCTTTTTTCCATTTGGAAGGTGATGAAGTGATAATCAGAAGTCTTCCCAGCAGGGAGAGCACAAATTCGTCTCCCTCAGGGAATAAGGCGCAACCATGGGAAACCAAGGTCCCCATGGCAGGAAGTTACTTGGAACTCCACTGGTAGTATCACAAGCTGCTTTTGTCTCAGAATGTTGGGCAAACATCTGCCCTGAATTTTTGACCATGGATGCAGGCTCAGAAGTCTTTGGTTGTGTGATTGTTTGCAATGCTTGATCATTTTCCCATGAATTTATAAGCTGCTTTAGATCAATGATCAAGCAAAGTCAGAGCAACATACAATGTACACAATACCAGAATGAAACAAGAAATCAAATGGCTCCTGAACACGGTGGGAAGATTTCTTCCATTAGTTCATTCTTGCTTGAAAAGATGTAACCTTTTAATGTGTGGTGTAAATAACTGTACTAAAGAGTCTTCTTCCAGTGTTTTCCAAAGTAGTCTTCAAAGCATGTGGATGTCTCTTCAGAAGAGTTCAATGACTGGAAGGATGATCAATGAGAAGACATGTCTTCATGTCTCCTGAGCCAAAGTTTATAGAATAAGACAAGAACCTTCAGCTTCACACAGATGCAGATGGGCAACCTGTGCAGGACTTTTAGCAGGGGTGTTGCATGAAGAAGTAGCATTCCAAAGGAGTTTGAGTTGCCAAAGTGACTCAATCTTCCAATCAAGCTTGGAGTCCTACAAGTAGAATAGTACAGGATATTGCTCCTTCAGGGAGAATGTAACTCCACCTAGCAAAGTCATCATATCTCTTTTGCAGGCATGGGAACCACTTGCAGGGGATTTTGATCTTGCTCTTGTTATTATTTGCCATCAAGCAATCTCTAACTCATGTTAAACTTGGAATGGAGGTCCTCCAAAATATCCTGCCCTTCACCACTCTGTTCAGCTCTCGTAAATTCAAAGCCCCTACTTCCTTAACAGAAGAAATCCTTTTCATACTTGGTCTTCCTGTTCCTCAGCTTTTCCTACCATAGTAGTCTTCTCCAGGATGCCGTACCTTCTCATTGCATGTCTGTAATATGACAGCCTCATTTTCCTCATTCTTGCTTTCAGGGAAAGTCCCCACCTGATTTGCTCCAGGAATCATCTGTTAGTCCTCCTGTTGGTTCTGAGTAACCGCAAAGCTGTCCTCCACCATCATCTTTCAAGTGCAATCTCTATTCTCCCAGGATCCAGATAAATTCTCTTGACCCTCATCCAATGCATTACTGAGTCCAGGCACTGTTCCAGGACTGTGATGGCCTCAACACAAGGACTGAGAGCCACATCTCATCAGCATGCTGATGATCCCTTTCTCCAGGACCCAAAAGGACAACTGCGGAATCTCTGCTACTCATTCAAAAGTATGATAGCAAACACGAATATGCTATGTGGGACTGAACTACTAAGGGGTCAAGTGATCACACATGGATCTCTCTATGTACTTTCTAAAACCAGAAGTGCAGATTGGAGAAAACCCCCTGAAATAAATTACTCACAACTTCCTAAATCTGAAGTTTACCCAGCAAGATACCAGGGATGAGTGTACCACAGTGGAATACTAGAGCAGCTAGAAAGGAATGGGTCAAGCAATCTACTTTTCTCTACATGGGTCATTGATCAGGGAACCAAGTTGGATTCATTCCAGAGCTAGACCAGAAACCACTGGAACAGGGGAATCCTTGAGACTGACTGCAAATAACCTGACAACACTTTCTTGAGAACTTGAGCCAACAAAGGAGGCATGTGCATCTAGGTATGAGTCATCCGGTTCCATTCAGTCCAGAACAGGTTTCTTAAAGAATTATCATACCCTGGTAGGAGACACCACCACCTTGTGTAAAGATGGATCTATCACCCTGGAGCTGCACACTCATATCCGTTTGATATTTTGCACTGTGGAAATCATCAGGAGGATGCCATTCAGAGTCATCACTGCAAGCACTTGGCCAGCTCATTAGATGGAAAGCAATAGCAGAGGTGACAGGTTTCTGAATGGCCTCTCTCATAACAGCAGCATTAAACTGACTACATCAACAAAGAAGACAAACTACACTCAAAGTAATTTCAGGAAACAGGGTGCAGCACTTCTTAGGGGTTCAGATGAAAGTGCAAATGCTCCCAGGAAATTTTAGAATACCTGCCCATGTAGCACCTTGAGGGAAGAGCAATGGCAGAAGAGGAGGACTGATTCCCTTTCTGCCCTCTCCGGCAATAGGCAAGATGTCCTGTAACATGTGATTGCTCAACTGAACCTTGAACCTTTTGCGATTTGCTGTGATACAACAACAGGGAAGGGGATACCTGCCAGGGCTGTAGCTTCTGTTCATTCAGCCTGACTCCTCTTCCAGCCATCAATACTTGCTCGGATTGGGATAAATATGCAGCATGTAAGGCATGGGCTATCATTTGGACACTGTTGTATGTACGAAAGCTATCTGGAGAAAAGACTCTTTCCAGCTCCTCCTGGGGGAAGATGTCAATTTTCTCTTTCTCTGTGTAGCTTGAATACCTTTTCATGGAAAAAACATGCTCTGAATACAAACAATGAAAAACATTCTGCCAAAACCATACTCTAGAATCAGAGAGTGGGTTGTAATGGCTGAGTCTTGACTTCTGTGGGCTCTTCATGATAAAAGACAAAGAACCATGAAGAGGCTGAAAGGAATACAGTTCCAAAACTAAGTTGAGGTTAATATCTTGAAGAGTTGTGATCCAGACCTTTCCTCCCATTTGTTCCTTTCCAAATATCTCTTGCATCATGAGAATTGGAAAACAGGCATAGTGAGAATCTGCATAGAAAACAGCTACTTTCACCTGTCCCCACACAACATAGAGCTCCTTCTCAGTCATTCTGAGTATGTTTTTTCGTGGTATCCTTTTTGTAAAGGCAATGCAGATTCCATGACTCATCATCAACGGGATCACCGACCTCACAAACCTTTCTCCATTTTCAGTGTCTGGGGAAAAGAGACTGATCCATGTCCAACCAAATCTTGCCAAAAGGTGGACAATGCCTGGGTATTGAGTTTCCTCCTTTGGAGCCACCCAGTTGATGAATGGGAACTGCGTGTGATCCTCCAGAACAGAGCTCATGAAGCCATAACTAATCTAATGAAAAGAGGAAGAGTCTGGTAGTTGGCCTTGTTTTTTCATTAGCAAGATCAACAAATTATATGAACATGAAACCTCTAAGCAAAGCCCATCACAAGGGAAGTTGAACTGGAGGAAGAAGTGAGGCTTACATGTTTCAAAGTTCTTCTCAACAGGAGTAATTCAGTGTTTGCTTTTAAAAGATGGACCTTCTCTATGGAGAGAAAGGAATGCAGTCCAGTGAGTCCCAAGAGAAGGGGAACAGATGGGAGTACCCCAAGGTGAGTCTTTTCCTTCCCTTTGGGGGTGAATATAGATCTTTCTCTTTTTGAATTCAGTAGGCTGGCAGGACACCCAATTGAGGTTATTCTGGTTGGACAGTTGCCTTATTCCCAGAAGGAGCACCCTGTGAGAAATATGGCCAAATATGTCCTTGCATCCATTGGACAATTTCTCCCTCCAAGATCAGGCCAAAAGGTGGTATTGGTGTCCTATTTAAAATACTACCTTGTGGGCATTACAGCAGCTCGAACTGTGATCTTTTCAGGATCTCCCTTTGCAGATGTTTTTGTAGCCCACTGACCAAGAAAGTTCTTGAAATACATTGGACCAGCTTTCCATTCGCAACATTTCTATATCCTGGTTTTCATCTTTCTCAGTTGTCACCAGGGTGTTTTACACATTGCCATACTGTATCATTCATTCAGCTTGATGGCACTTGTGACTTTACATGCTCACTCATCTGTATAGAACAACATTAAATGGTGGCATCCCTTCAGTAAGGTTCTGCTGAATTTCAGTATTCCAAGGGCAAGTGTGCCTGGTTTTAAATGACTCCAATTTCAAAGCACCAGTTCCTAGCTGCAACACCATCAGCAGAGAACATGCTTCCTCAGCGTATGAAGGTGCTTTGGGAAGAGGGCTATGAACCAGTGCCAGCTGGATTTGGGGGGAACTGCCCTCCCTTCCTCTCCCAGGGCCTACCTGAGGAATTTTGTAGATGCCCAACATGGCTGAAATAAGAGTGGATATATCTAATTCAGTTCCTTCAAGAATGGCCAGCAGGTTCTTTTTCCTCCCACAGCTGAAGTTGGGAAGGTGGTGCTCCCCAGCAGCAGGCAGGTCAAGCATGGCATAGGAAGTTGTTCTTCCATCAATATGTCTCTCATAGATGTCGTAGCACAGGCTGATGTTGGGTAAGAGCCAGGGGTTCTGATTGATCTCACGGATGGAAAACAAGAAGGACAAGATGCGCCAGTACCTCAGAAGTAGAAAACTGCAATGCCAGAATTAGAGAAACTGGGCTCGTTTGATGAATAAGATTCCAAGGAGATTCCAAATACATAAAGGAAAGGATTCCTTCAGATGGCACACAGATGAAAGAAGACATTCACTTGCTGCAGGAGCAGTCATGGCTAGGGATGTGCAAAGAATCTGGGTTGTGCAGAAAATCCATTGGATTGCCTGCTTTTGGCTTCTAAGATGCTAGACCTCTTGGCATCACCCAAAGTCCAAGTTGCTACAGAGTACAAACAGCTTTTGTGACATGTTCCACAGAAATCGAGCTCCACATGCTGGACAAGCAGTGTTACCCTTCCATGCCCACCACTGCCATCCTCAGCAGTGAGTGGGAAAGAACCTTGGTTCTGGGAATGGCGGCTTGCACGCTCACTTGCTGTGCCCCCTTCAGCTTCCTGCAGCTGCTCCTGATGGGCAAGTTCCCCTTCTACATCCTCCTCTAGCTTCTGCTCACTTTGCAGAACTGGGCTGTGCAGGAGAGGAAGTCTGGGGATTCTGGAGGGGCACAAAAGGTTTATCCCAACCCAAATATGTCACAAAGTTCATGACTTCAGCAGGACAATTCCTGGAGGAGGAGGCCAGCTATGATAACTCTGTGTTGCCTACTCTATCAAAGGCTAGTCTTGGGACAAACCTTTCAAGAATCCGTCCCTCCAAGTTCTGGCATGTTTCTCTTGTGCTCAGCCTGGCCTTCCAAAGTGTGCCAAGCTGAAAGGGAGATCATGGATGCCTGGCGAGCCCCAGTTGTGCAACCTCCCAACTCTTTGCAACCACAATGTATTGAGAGCAAATTTCTAGTGGCTGACTGGGGGTCCAGAACTATGGTCTATCTCCAGGAGATGGCAACAACCGAAGGGCAGGATGGGAAGCATTAAATCCTCGTGACTCACCTCTCAATCCGATTCAGGGGGGACTCATAGAAGTCATAGAGCTGTTGATGCTGAAAATGCTGTGCGGAAACAACGCCACTGATAAGGTAGTCTCCTGGTCGGTAATACTTGGATGCTCCTTCTGCAAACATATTCGTGGGACAGTTTCCCTCCTGCAATTTGGAAACTGCACTGTGCAGGAGGAGGAGCAGCAGGAGCAGCCATGTTAGGATGCACCTCCTCTTCATGCATCTTGTCTGCATGGCTGCTCTACTCACCTCCATTTCCCATTGGACAGCGGCAGCCAGAACAGTCTTGCTCTGTGGTCCTTACAAAGCCAGGAAGGAGTCCTGAGACAAAGGGAAGCTCTTTCAAGTTTCCCTCAGATCCATTCAACACGCCTCTCTACCTATCCCAAACTCAACCCAAGCTCTCAGTAATGGAGCACATGTTTTCCACACTGAGTTTCTCAGGCATGGATAAAGCAGTTTGCTGAGATTGCTTGTGAGAATGACGTTTTCTTTATTGTAGTGAAAGAGAATCTCAAGCAGGTGACTCAGGCTTAGGCAGGGCTCAAGGAAAATCACCATGTTTTGGATCATCCTCAGGGACCAAAGCATCCTTTCTGCAACTGAGCACAACAGAGTCCCCAGGGCACAGCAGCACTGAAGGAGAAAAACAGGTTTGCAAACAATTTTTGCTGTGGCTTCATGTTTTGGGAATGCATGAGGGGAAAGGGAGCTTGGCCTGTTCTCTCCTGGAGACCCTTTAGCAAGGGGCTGGATGAAGAACATCTTTGGAGATGAACTGAACACAAAGGGACATGTGTCCCATTGGAGATTTCTTCACTGATGTGATTGGCAGCCCACTTTGGATTTCTCAGAATGTAAACATGATCCTTTCCTCCTTCTCTGTACACATGATCAGCCGTGCAATGTGGATTGTTTTGGATCAAACTGGTTTTGGATGAATCCAGGCAGAAATCATCCCTCTTGCATTCCCCTGGGGTCCACTCCTGCTAGGCCCAGGCTTTGCAAAATGAGCCAAGGGAATTCCTTCACCTTGGGGCCACTCCTGAAAGGACTGCCCTCTTTGGAAGCACCTGATTCACTTTACTTTCTGGGAGAAGAGCCTGTCCTCAGTGTCTGGGCATTCATGGGAGAAGACCATTCTTTCAGTAACCTGGCAGCCTCCCCCAGAATAGCTTGGATATCTTTTAAGCAGGAAGTGAAAGAGTCATGGTGGGTACACATGCAATGACAAGCCACAATCATCCCAGCTTTTTCAGCAGGGCACCTTTGTTTCTTAGAAAGCACGAAAGCATGATTTGTAGAAAGCATGATTTCTACAGTTTCCATATTTCAGTATGGTTGCTCTTATCATCTCAACCCATCAGCATGGCTTCCATGGTCCTGCTATGCAGCTCCCACATTGGCACCTTCTGATCCAGAAACTGCTTCCTCCCTTCCTTCCCTCCTGGGACTGATGAGATATGGGCCATTTGCACAATGTCTGCATCTGAAAGGGAGAGTCATTACAGCATAACCCAACAAATCAGAGATATTTATGCCATTTGGAGCAAGGATGAACATGTGGGAGAGGAGAGGAATAAATAAAAGGAGGTTGCATGGGGAGGTTGAGAAATGTTCCCTTGAGAGTGAAAAGCTTCTCGATGAGAGGCTTTCTCAGGGCTTCCATCCTGAGGATGAACTTGGTAAGAAGTCTGGAAAGCTGCCTTCACGCAACCTTACAGAAAGGCTGGCAGGCAGGGTGGATTAGAGGTAAAGTCTGCTCCCTACATTGTTCAAAGATAGAGCAGAAGTTGGATTTAAAAAAGGAGTGTTCATGGAGTCTCTGAATGGTGAACTGATTTTCAACTTTCCACTCTTAGAACCTGCTGATGACCTTGAGTCAAGATCTCCAGGAATTGGAAGAGTGGGCCTCCACAAAGTAGACCAGAATCCAGTGAGGTGAGCCCAGGGAATTTGGCAGATTGCCATTCCAGTACAGATCCATTGTGTATTCCCATTTCCTTGCACACATCCTCCCTACACAAGGGACTACATGAGAGTATACTTTGCAGGAAAGGTGACAGCCAGGCAACAGACCTTCCTTTACCCATGAGCCTCTTTCTCTCCATCGGCTTCTTAACAGAAGACTCACTACCACTTTGGAAATACAGAAAAAGTTAGGGAAGCCAGATGAACATTTGCTGCCTTGGCAAAATCGTGTGGAGTGCTTTTACCTGCCTTGTCCTTCGGTTTGAATAGGCTTTCCTTCTGCATTGTGCTGTGTGTCACTGTGAAGATAAGGCTCAGGTGCCTCCAGTCTGGCACCATGCACTTAAACCCTGAGACAAACCTTGAAGGGATGATGGGGGCATATTGTAAGTGGGAACAGATCTTTGGTGCCATCAGCAAACATGGCCCCATCTCTGTCTTTCAATGTATGTTCAAGTCATCTCTGACTTATGGCAGATCTTCAATGGAGGTCCTCTCAAATGTCTTGTCCTTCACAGCCCTGCTCAGCACTTGCTTATTCCAGCCTGTGGCTTCCTAGGCAACGTCAATCCATGTCATACTTGGTGCATTTAGGTAGTGAACATGATTTCCCTTGCAATTGAGCTCCTGGTCAGCAGGCACAGGATTGCACCAGCAGCTTTGAATGTAGCTTTCCAGATGCTGATTAGCCTTCACATGGTGGGACCCAGGTCAGTCCTCCTACCCTGCTGAAATGCCTGAGCCACCCAAGAGCTTCCAGTCAATGGAAAGCTTGACATCTGAGGAGGTCTGACACTTCATGCTCCCAGTGTTGGCTCTGCCATGAGAACAGTTGGGAAAGGACACCCAATTCACAATATCTGAGTTGAGTTAAAGGCTCCCATGCTCACCCAAGCACAGTCTCTCTGTGGAAACAGCAGAAACTCAGGCTTATGAAAGCATGTAACTGGAACTACAGGGGAAAGAACAGGCACTGAGAAAAGAACTGATGAAAGAACATGCAATGAGGGATTGCACGGAAGGACAGGATATAAATGCTTGTAATAAATAAGTAAATAAATCATATTTTTGCCCTCCTCATTTGAAGTTCCCACTTTGTTAGAGCTTCAATCAATGTGCCTCCACATGGACTTGAGTGGCCAGCACTGACTACTTTTGTGTGCTCACAGCTGAGAGGAAGAAAGACAAGGCCGCTGAAGATCCCAGTCATTCCATACAGCAGCTGAATTCCTGCCCTAGGCAACCTTTCCCAAACTGGCGGCTTCTTGCCTTTTGAGACTGCAACTCTCACATCAGCTATGGGGCCAATGCATAATGCACTGCACATGGGATCATTGTCAATATGAGTTCAACAAAATGGTGGTAGATTTTGGTCTTTCTGGCTAAAGGGATGGAATATTAAGCAAATGAATAAATATATTGGTAGGTGATGCTCAGCTGTGCTAAGCCCAGTATGGTTCAGGGAGTACTTCTGCAGATTTCCCATTTCCATCTCCATGACAAGCAGTTGTTTGAACCAAGTGCAAGTGGTATGAATTGGCCTTCTTTCATTTTATTTTAATACACTGTTATTCTGCCTACAATGCAGAGCTGAGTAGACAGCTACACCAATTCCTAAAATGGGTCAGGATCTGACTCAACATCTTGTGGACTTGCTTCAACAGCCAAATCTTGGGAACAGGATGTCTTGGCCATGGTTGAATACCCACTTGGATACTGTCCTGACTTCAAAAACGATGCTCCCCAGTAATGTCCTGAAGTGAACATTTGCATGTTCACCAATGTTCACCAAAACCAATGTCACAGCCTCAGAAAGATCCTTGGAACTCCACAGGTAGCTTCACAAGCTGCACTTGTCTCAAAGAGCTGCACAAAAGTCTTCCCTGAGGTGTTGATCCAGCATGCAGGATCAGGATTCTCTACATACTTTCAAAAAGCAGCAGTGCAGGTTGGGGCAGAACCGCAGAACATCCTAAAATTGAACCTTATACTAAAAGATACCAGGGATTAGTGCATCCAAGTGCAATGATACAGCAAGTAGAAAGAACTGGGTCAAGCACACTGAATTTTTTCTATGAGTGTCACCCATCATGGGACAAAGTCAAGGGTTAGGGATAGGGTTAAGGTATCCCTAGACCAGCAATCTCTACAACATGGGCATCCTTGAGCCTGCCTGACAACACCTTCTCAAGAACCCAAGCCAAAAAGGAGTTATGAGCAACTAGGTACTTGGTATTGAAATCCAGTCTATCTAGAACACATTCCTTTAAAAATGGTAGTACCCCTGGAGTAGGAAGTTGCATTGCTTTGTGTAAATGTGGGTTGGTCACAGTTTGGAGCAGCACGTGTATGTTCTTTTGGTATTTGGCTTTATGGAAAATCGTGTAGAAGACACAGTTCAGAGCCCTACCTGCAAGCACTTTACCCACCTATCAGGTGGAAATCAGATGGATAGATGGGGCCACCAGAGGTGATGGACTTTCAAATGATCTCTCTCATAACACCTGCATCAAGTTAACTGTATGAACATACACAACTATGCATAAACTACGCTGAAAGTATTTTCAGAAAACGGGACAGTGGGTGCCTGAGTGGCTCAGAAGAAAGTGTGACTACTCCAAAGACATTTTAGAATGCATATCCATGTAGCATTTTGAAGGTAAAGCAAAGGCAGAAGAGTAGGCTCAATTTCCCCTTCTGCACTGCCATGCAAAGGCATGATGATGTCCTGGAACACATGTTTGCTCAACTGAACCCGGAATGTATTGCCATTTGCTGTGAAACCAGAACGGGAAAAGGGAATACCTGCCAGGGTTGCAGCCTCTGCACTTGGGACTTGTCTCCAATTCCAGTCACCAATATCCACTTGGATTGGGATGAAAGTGCAGCATTTAAGGCATGGGCTGCCATTTGGACACTGTAGTAAGTCTGGAAGCTGTCTTGAGAAAAGACTCTTTCCAGCTCCTCCTGGGGCAGCATCTCCAGTATCTCCTTCTGTCTGTAGCTTGACCAAACTTTCATGGAAAAATCATGCTCTGAGTAAAAACAATGCAAAGCATTCTGCCAAAACCATGCATTAGCTGGAGAAACTGGCTTGTAGTGTTCAAGTCCTGTCTTTTGGGGGCTCTTCATGATGAAGGACAAAGATCCAT